CAGCTCAGGTTTAGCACTAGCATCTGATGATAGGTGGGCTACATGCTGATCAATCACACTGACGGTCTCACAAGTATGCGTGCCTTCTGCAACTGAATCTGCATTTATTTCTACTTCACGTTCAAGTTGTACAGAAACTTTGTTCAACTTAGCAGTAGTAGGCATATCCCTCATCTCATCATGATCAACCAAAGACAACTGTGAAGTATCATGATCATTATCACGAATATTCACTTTACCGTCAATTTCATCATTTTCAAACTCTTTAATAACAGAAGTAGACAATTTTGGTTCCTCCTCGCAAATCATAAAAGGTTTTATATCTTCACTCTGACTAGTAATACCTTGTAAACTTGTCGAGTCAGAACTGCACTCTGAAGCAGTAACTCTATTCTGTGACACTCTATTCAACAATGGCTTACCAGTTGCAACTACAGACTTCTTGACCGCACCGTTATCGTCACACAATTCGGAGTCAGACCTGGATTTCACATTTAGCTTATCACTGAACTTGCTCACTGGTTCACAGTTCACTTCTGTATGCACCTCTTGCAAACGTGTACAACACAACCGTGTTTGTCTTGCATCTTGTAACTTATCTGTTGAGGATGTACTACGAAACCTGTTACACTCACTAGGTCTATATGCATTACTAGACATCATGGAGCCTTCTCGATATCCACCTCTCTGAGGCCCTTTCGTCATCAATGATTGCGTTTTACCCTCAGACTGCTCTATTCTAGGGGTGAGATTCAATATACTGGCAAACTTGCTCATCGATTGATTGACACTATCTTTTACTAGTTTCAGGATATCATCAAATTTTGGCTCGATACCCTCATCCTCCATACGGGAGCTTATCTTCACCCACTTCCTTTGCAGTCGAGTAGGTAGGCGTCTTGCTATTACTTCTAGCATAAAACTCGAGTTGAGGTCACTAATGCAATTCATAGAAATCAAGGTATTCTTATAAGTCATAAGATTATCCAAAAACTCAGTAATTGCCTTGGAGTCATCTTGAAGTTGACTGCCGTTACCTTTGACAGCTTCGTATACGTTCCTTACAATCATCGAAGGTCTTCCAAACCTTTGACGTAATGTGCTCATAGCCTCATCGTAGCCCTCTTTTGGCTTCATAAACTTACAACACTGTATAGCTCTTGCAGCATCTCCAGTGCAATATCTCATCAAATACATTAACTTCAATTCATCACTTAATAGAAAACTACTCAACATGATCTCAAACTCCTTTACAAATTGTAAATAATCAGCTGGGTTTCCATCAAAACACCGTGGTTCTAATTTAGGGAGTTTGATGTTCATATTATCCCTGGACGGCGAAACAGTAACATCAACCATATCATGCTTAACATCAGACACATCGTTACAATTAACAGACAAGTCACCATGACTTACTTTCCTGTTTGCATCCAAGACACTCTGTCCCTTCTTTGACCCAGGCATTGTTGAACTTGACCCGATTACAAAAGAGTTCCAGATATTGCTCGATCAAAGAGGACTTGACCGGCACCAGGAAAGATGAACGGTGACTATCCAAACTGTTACCAGCTATCTGAATCGGCCAGAATCTGTTTCTATCGTCAGAAACTGTCAGCCACGTCTCATAAACCGTTAATGCCCAGCTCTTGCTACGCTCGGGCCCACGCCGTTCCTTGAAGTTTCAGAAACGCTTAGTTATAACGGACGTAAAAACCAAAACACCGATTGGCCGCTTGAGAATTCTTTATTGTTACACCAACATATAAAAATAATAATTGAACTAAGGTCTGTGAACAAATATTACAATAATAAATCATAATATTACTTCTGACGATGTTTTACTCTTCTTTCTGAACAGCGACCGATGAGACGATGACTGTCGTATTGATGCCTCCGCGAAAATTGGGGAAGTTGATTTTGAGCAAACAACCAAGAATTGATCGTTCAATCTTCAACTCCATTGACAACATGTTAAACATATTTTGCTATCGACTGTAAATTGTGACTGAATAATATGGTTCTATTTCTGTAACAATTCGATGATGCCTGTAAACTGGCATCCCTCATGTACAGTATCATGAGAATAAATTTATTTATTTATTTATTTATAATATTCCTGACAACAAAACACTTGGGGTTTTCGAGAGGTTGTAAGAGAAGAAGCGTTTCCATAGAAGGAAGTGACTTACAAAACAGTAGCCGGTACTAGCTTAGCAATGTAGGGTTATATGGCGATAAAATTTAATTCAGTCTGTATAAAGTCACTAAAATTATGATATAGGAACGAATCCTACACATTTTTACTTTGATCCAGTTGCTCCTAACAACTAGTTAATGGAGGGATAAAAGTACAGTTTCACTGTTAGAAAATCCATGTGCATAAATGGAAAGTTGGAAAATTACAGCACTGAACCACCATAGAGGAATATAAATACCATTATAATTTTCCTTCGATTAATTCTCAATGACTGCTACTGCTTGCATAGAGAAGTGTAGATAAACAAAGTGATCAGGGAAAATCGATTCAAAGTTCCACAGAGTCATTGGTGGTTTTTCATACCCTACACCTTCTATTGTGTTCTAGTACATCCTCCAATATATAAAATATTCCTCATCTAAATTGAATATGCTTCCTATTAATGTATGAGTAAAATCTGCTCACTGAAGTTTCTGGAGATTACTCACAACCAGTGAAGGGACCTGTTCCACGTGGTGTTTCAACTTTAACGAGTGTCAAACATTCCTTAGAAAGACTATTGTGGATCACTTCAAGGATCACATTTAATCGTCCATCATTAGTGATCCTCCATCATTGCTCCAACCAACATTAACTTTTCTCTTGAAAATACACCCATCATAGTAAATTTCATCTGCATATATAACAATCTTGCCTCACAGTACGACTGACCTATTATTTTCCCCACTTTTCTTTAAGTCCAGACTTTCGCTGGTTATATCATCTTAAAATTGCCGAGGATTCCACCGTGAGACGCGAAAATGAAGGCACACGTTCACAGACAATGGCTGCCAATTTATTATTGCTATCTCCTGAGGTCAAAACTTTTCCCTTTATTAGTCACGTATTACTTAATTTTATTTTTTTGGTAACAGCTTGATTCCACACTGTATTTTTGATACAAGTATGGAATTTTCAGCGTGGATATCGGTAGCCCAAATTTCGCAGGCCGACCATAGATATCTGGTGTGCGCCGGTGTGGGCTCGAACCCCGGACCATGTGCATGGTCGTCGAGAGTCCTATAAGCACAGTTTTTCGACTCTGCAAGGGAGTAAATCAGTGGTGTTTCAAACTGTTGATCACGTGAAGAAAACATCAGTAGCACTCATAAGTTTTCTGAATGCATACATAAAGCTAGAATATATTTTGTGGTACTGCTCCACTTGTGTGTGCCCCAATGTCAGTACCACTGCAAAGCACAGAAACTATGCGTGAGCTTGCTTTTTAGGCACTCGCTAACCTCTTGAATACTTCCACACCCTTTCGTTTTTCACGCTGGTTGACCTGACCTTGTCGCTGAATAAAAACAGTTATTACACATATCACTGTTTTGGAACTTTTGCCCCTATGAGTTTTACGAGATGAAGATACCTCAGTTTGCGAAGATGATAACAAACGCCTACGTCATTGATGGCCTACACACTATTTACTTAAGCTGTTCTGATACACAAGTAACATTGCATGCTTGTTGCGAGTAAAAACCAAGAAATTATTTTACACGTAGTATCTATGTGGTACTTTTACTATGAGAGTCTACCACCTAACTAATTCTTGACCAGCAAACGTAACTTTTCCAAACCAAGTGTGTATTCTACTCATGAGTGCAGACAGTAGGGAGTGTCATCATGCAAACTGGCTCCACATACTGTATATTCCTCGAGATAGCCGTTTCGGTAAATTCTCATACGAATCTGGTATCTCTAGGCACTGAAGTATTGTTTAATTGATTTCATGCCTACTTCGGAACACTCACAGCTCGTGATGTGCTCTGAACTGCATGAATGATGTCCTTCTTTTCGTCTTCAAGTGCGTTTATAGAATGAAATCTAGTTACGATGAAGCTATTGTGTTTGCTCCATAGACAGTATGAGAGAAATTGGTAGAGCTCCTTAATTGCATTTCTTTGAAATAACACTATACTCTCTCTGTACGCAAAGACCTTTATTGTGAGAAAGTGTTATATCTAGACAACGTTGCTCCTGTAAGACGACTTAAATTCATAAAAATCAAGATCAACGAATACTTCACAATTATTGCAATGAGATCGAGAACGTTACACTATAATTCTCCAGGAACCAGTTAGTTGTGGTGCTTGGACACCTTCCAGCTGTTTCTTTGTTCACCTCAGCAGTAAACAACTCTCATAATCGGTGTGTGACTATCTGTGCTACCAAACCTGAGCTTTGCCCAACTACATGCTGACTCTTTAACCCACCCAGTCTGGTGACCAGGCTGCTGTTAACATTACCACAACTCCTGCAGGGAGAACACTATTCAACGATGTACTAATAATCTACAGTGTGAGGAGAATATAGGGATGAACAATCACACCACATCATATTGCCCACACTGCTGTTCCTTGAGGAACCATTTTTCTTCAGTGTTACCTAGTCAACACGGACAAATAAACTGGACGTTGAAGGTGAGATGATCAAGATTCATTTGACTTCACTAATCCCCTTGAAACCCCACGATATGCTTCCTAGAAGTTCTAGTGAAATAAAAAGCATAACAGAAGATTTCCTAATCGTCAATGACTGCCGTTTAACGCTTATTTATAAACGTTGATGAACGATTGATGTCACTGAAAAGTATTGACTTTAAGATCTTTCAACCACATGTTAATTTTCTGAAGAATCCCGAAAACTTCGAAATATACAATATGAATCTCCGGAAATCCTTTTTTAGTTTTTTTCATTTAAGTATCTGTACAAAATAACAGTACCGCTGGAAGACACATTTAATTATCATTCATTAATATAAGCCATTTATGCAATATTTTTAAAATTTCTCGTGGTACAATAAAGGACTTGCGAAGCCTGATGTCTACTCGCAAGCCTGCGCTGTAGATTTTGTTCGGCTAACAGCTTGAAGGCTTAATATTAGTTTATTTGCAGCACATTCTTTTTAGGTCGTACCTCAAGGTCATTCATCGCGGTGATATATGGCCGAGCCGGACAAGTTAAACATTGACAGCTTGATTTCGAGACTTCTGGAGGGTATTTATTGTCTTTTTAATAACTGTTTCGAACCAATTTTTTTTGCAGTTCGTGGGTCTCGTCCAGGAAAAAATGTGCAACTAACCGAAGCTGAGATCAGAGGTTTGGCTCTTAAGTCGAGGGAAATTTTTCTTCGTCAGCCAATTTTATTGGAACTTGAAGCGCCTTTAAAAATATGTGGAGATATTCACGGCCAATATTATGACTTGTTACGCCTTTTTGAGTATGGTGGATTTCCTCCAGATGCTAATTATCTATTCTTGGGCGATTATGTTGACCGTGGAAAACAGTCATTGGAAACGATATGTCTCCTCCTAGCTTACAAAATAAAATATCCCGAAAACTTTTTCTTGTTGCGTGGAAACCATGAATGCGCTTCAATCAATCGCATATATGGATTTTATGACGAATGTAAGTTTCCGTCCCTAAGGTTTTGACTTTTCTACAGGCAAGAGGAGGTACAACATAAAATTATGGAAGACGTTTACTGACTGTTTCAATTGTTTACCAATAGTCGCCATTGTTGATGAGAAGATTTTCTGTTGTCATGGTGGTAGGTCTCTATCCAAATTTCTAAGCCTACTAAGGTCTCTCTCCCGATTTGCATTCCATGGAGCAAATACGGAGGATTATGCGACCGACCGACGTTCCTGAGCAGGGTTTACTATGTGACCTTCTTTGGTCAGATCCAGATAAAGATATAACCGGTTGGGGAGAAAATGATCGTGGTGTCAGTTATACATTTGGAGCAGATATTGTCACTAAATTTCTTCATAGTCACGAACTCGACCTTATATGCAGAGCCCATCAGGTTAGATTGAAATTGTAAATTAACTGGGGGTTAATAGGTTGTGGAAGATGGTTACGAATTTTTCGCTAAACGTCAACTAGTAACATTATTCTCCGCACCTAATTATTGTGGAGAGTTTGATAACGCTGGGGCAATGATGTCTGTTGATGAAACTCTTACTTGTTCTTTCCAGGTGAGAAATTTTTAGTTTCACTTATTCTTGTACTTAGATATTAAAGCCCGCAGACAAGAAGAAATTTAATTTCGGGTCATTGAATTCCGGTTGGCCTTCTACTCCGCCAAGGAACTCCAAGCTTAAAGACAAATGAATTCCATATAAAGGCTTTTTGTGAGTAATGGATTTCGAAAACTGTTACTTCATCGTGTATTCGTATTTTGATTATTCATTATTCACTGTACAGCTATCAGGCGACAAATATTTGTATGCCTAATGAGAATATGTTATGTTTTGGGTGATCACTTCGTCCTATTCAAATGATCACGAATAAATTTCTATCAATCACTGATTACAGATTTCATGTTCATTTTTAGTATACTTTATGTATAAGACATGAAGTTTCTAGGTTATTCTGACATTTTATCCTTCCCAGTGTCAAGTGATGTACAGTCATGTTAATCCTACTTATTACTATTTATCACTGTACAATAATCTTCACATGTTGTATGTCACCATCTTAGGCGCCACATCTCCATTGTATTTAACTCATTTCATGGCCCATTAACACATCATGTTATCTGTTAATTACTTACTAAAAGTGCTTGTATAAATAAATATCCGGAAAGTTTTTGGCTTGAGTTATACTTCTTCTTGTTCAAGTTACTAGTCTAGAAAAGTTTGACTTTACGTTTTAGCTACTGGCATACCTTAAAAACAAGCTAGCCACTTATCACAAATTGACAATAATTCTGTTTCCTTAGGCTGTTCCACACTGTATGTTTTGATATTTGATGTCCAATGTGTCTCTCCTGGTCAAAAGAGAAAATTCTCGCTTTCGTAGCGTATATATATATATATATATATATATATATATATATATATATATATAACCATTTTTATAATGAAATAGCCCTATGGTTGGTTCTCTTGCCAGACAGTTATTCTTTAGTTTTGTTTTTTAGAATCAGACTTCTTGATGTAACGCTCATCATCTCATTTGACAGACTAACATTGTTACTTGTAACTAAGTAATCAATGATACTGATTCGATGATCAGATTCTGCTTTTACGCGTATTCACCACCTTAATATAAACCGTACTGTTGCTGATTCTAAATTCCCGCTTTGGGGCTGAATGCATGTTTTCACAAAAAGTGAATGCATCTGCTCCATTGAGAACAATTTTGAGCCATATCACGGATTTCCTCCACCAGCCATTGGTTCTTAGCATTCCAAGGGCCTCAACCAGTAAATCTACACCTCCCCAAGTGATTCAAACTAACTGCTGAAGGATTCATGAACTAAAGCCATGTTTTCGTTTAACCACCACTAGCTCTTTTTCCAACGTGATCTTGTGTTAACTAATGTTGCCCGTCAGGAAAAGTGATGGCTGGACATGCGTAACACATGTCCCTAGCCATTTCAATCGATGTACCTTCACAACTTCGTCGATTGACTTTCCCTCCTTACCTAACACTCGACACCCAATATGGGGATAGCAATCTGGCCCTGTGTTAAAGTATAAATCCGGTATGGATAAAATTTATTATGATAAAGTCTTATAGTGTTATACATTAATATTTACTGATGACATTTCGAGCACAATTTATTACTTTATTTATGGCTCCAAAGTCAGAAAGTTGTGTGAGTACCTTGATATGATTATGAGCAATAAACTGTTCTCGAAACGTCATCAGTAAATATTAATGTATAACACTGTGAGACTTTATCATAGTAAATTTTATCCATAATGGACTTGATACCTAACCTCAATAATACTCACCCTCATACTGCCTAACACTAGACATAGGGAGCAGACATCTATGATCAAAGGCAGTTAGCCTCTTCATATCTTCCACTTTCAATAGCCATTCCTCACAGCCATAAAGGAAGACGGTGCAAACTGGTGCGCAGTATACATGTCCTTTGGTCGACAGCCGGATATCGCGTCTACACCATTTTGGGGACTAATGCTTGTTGGCGTGGTGGGTCTTTCCAGTATCAAGAGTCAATAATGGTAAAGTAAGTGACTCTGAAGTTTTAATTTCACTCATTTCCGATTTCAGCAGCTTAGCTACCTGGTACCAATCTGTGTATCAGGCACTTGTCAGGCATTCATTGTCACACAATGAATCTGTGCGGGCGTATGGTACTACCTGATTCTACAGGTCGTAGGATTTGAATGAGACTGAGAAATAAATGCTATATTCCGTCACTGCGTGTGAATCCGCACTGAAATTGACGACTGAACGATACACTGAAACTAACTGATTTTATAGGAATCTTTATGTTCTCTGGTGACGTATCTGGCAACACGAGCAACGCTAGGTAGGTTTGATATGCCTAGTTTCTTTGAATAACCGTATAGCTTTTTAGGCTTTGTATGATGACCTAGTAATCGATGTCTCGTTGCCCAAATGGGTATTGTAAATTTAATCCAGAACCCTAAATATATTCCGTGACTAAAGGTATCACGTGTAGCAGTTGTTGACTTTGATGTTAGGTATTGAGTAAATATGTTCACTTCATGTATTTTGTTTCACAACTTGAATGGCTAATGTCTGAATCACATTCAAATAAATGCATATGCCGTTATGTTTTAATTGTGCTTCATAGCATAGTTTTCAGAATATCTAGATTGTTTATTTTATTTAAAGCAGAAATATGGTTCAGCATGCGCTCAAAGAGATGTTTATTCTTCTCTACCACTTTATGGATCAACGATATGGTCAAAGCTGTATTTTATTGTTCGGAGAAGCTTACTGAAGCTATTCAGTACTGGCATGTTGCAGTGTTTAGCTAGTATATTGTTAGCAAATGCATTAGGCCATATTCTCTCTGAAAACGTTAGTTATTGTCCAAATGTTTTCTAGCCAACTAGTTTTAGGAGCTGTATTTCTTTAGTATGGTTGAACATGATTAGTCTTCCATCCTAAACTTGTTAACTGGTTATTTTGACAAGTAGTTTCTTCAGTAAATCAGGTCACTATTGCTGATGTAAATATTCGGATAAGTAGAGTTGCTGCATCAGCGAATTACTTCAATATGGAATCGAAACACAAACCCTAATCAGGCTCATGTTACAGTAATGAGCAGTGAGCTGCACCTACAACATAAAAACTGATCATATCATGGGGCTCCTGTAATTTCCGGCGGTTAATTTAGTCTCGAACATATAGTCCACTTTGCAAAAGTCGAGTGCAAATGATTTCCGCTTCTTGTTGTCGTTGAAAGTTAAAAAGTGTCTATTCTGCATAATCTTACAGCCTAACTGATATCTCCACAAAGTCAGTCAACTTGCTGAAAAATCTCATAAATTGTGTTTCATTTGTACAAAGGACATGTTTTAGGGTAGGTTGGGTTTCTAGGGCCGATTGGCATTAATCTTCAGAATAAAATGTTAACGTAGCTGATTGTTTGTGAGAAACACATTTATACCGTTATACTCTGTAATCATCTGTAAGATTGTCAGACTTATCGCCGTAGTGTAAACTAATCACTATGCAATATCGACAGGTCTTAGTTTTTTATTGTAATAGATCCCAGTGTTCTTGTAGGCAGAAATAGTAGACTTATAATTACGAGGCGGTCGAGGTTATCACATTTCATACAGACACATTGAAGGGAAATAAAGTGAGAAAATTGATATCCAAAGTTGTAAGGGGGCATAATAAGAGAACTGTGATATAATCCTCGATATATATATTATTTCGTTGAGGCCTCTGCTCTACTACAACTGATCGAAGTTTTCATAAACTTGAAGCATTTTGGTCTCTTTATGACATTGATCGCGTGCTTTGCATTTGCGTCATTACTGCATCTCTCACTAAACTATCATTGTTAAAATGATACGAAGTGGAATTCTTACATGTTGAATTTTTATGCTGGTTAAAATACTGGCATTGCCATTCAGGATATTCAAAAGCGTCTGTCAACGTTTTGACTTAACTTAAATAGTTTTTACAAAGATAGAAAGCAATGGACAGACATAGAAGAAGGTCAACCAGTAAAACTTGAATATACATTAACATACTGTTTTAAGTAACTCTAAAATAGACTATAGCCTTGATACTGGCTTCACTGATAATGTCAAAATTTGCTAGTAAAGGAGAGAGGATCTACAGAAAAATGTCAGTGTGGCAGTGCATACTATACACCAGTTTTCAGAATTTATGTACTGTTAATGATATAATTTCTTGCAATAAACTAAATTTGAGGAAATTGTGTCTGTTGCTCAAGAAGAGTAATGTTTTAGAGTACTCCAGTATCTTTTAAGGAAAAAACTCTATGTTCATAGCCCAGCTGTTATGTAATTACTACATAAGACAACTTCAACATGCTGCTTATCATATAGCTCAGTTAAGGGCAGGAGGTAAACTTATTGTAACAAATGCAAGCTTTGTTAATAGTCGCCATGATGCACCACCACAAACCTCAGAGGATTTATGAGATGGATAATAGTTATTGTATGCTTTTGAAATCAGTAATCAAATAGCTATTTCGTTTCATTTCCATATGCTATATAGCGTCAATTATCTTTTTAGCCATTAGAAGTTTTCGTTTTTATTTAAAATATTCTAAGCTGCATTCTGCCTACTTTGTTAAAATTTACTTAGCTGCTTAAGTGAATTGAACTATTTTAGTGTTGGGGCAGTGTGTTTCATCAAGCTATTTGATAGAGATTGGAAAATAAAGAAGTTTAAGTGATTTATCTGGTTTTCTCAATGCAATTGTCCGGTGCAGGCGATAATTTCAATCAAACTTTATGAGACTTGTAAATATCAATGGGTTGCTCAGACCTAAGTAAGTGAGGCGGCGTTTTAATCCATGATCCATTCGTCCTGTTCGTTTAAGTGGACTGGTTTTTCAAGTAGTGTTTTAATCAGGAATTAGGAGATTCAGTTATCCTATTGTTACCCAACCAAGTACTGAACAAGCTTATTTGTACTTTTAAAAAATATGCCAATTTTTCGTTGTATTTTGCTGTGGCTCTTTTCCAAATAATACCTCTAGACTTATTGTGATTTCATCAACCTTCAAATTCTAACTGGAAAAAAGTTTTCATGTCATCGGAATATTTGCAATATACACTATATCTCGGACTTTTGCCCATTTACTGTATGCCGTAGCTCTTGCATCTCCAGCTCCTGTACTGATTGTTGCTCCTTGATG